CTTCAAAACCTTAGCAATATCTATAATGAGTTTTTTATACTTAATGATATTTATATTAACATTGACAAATCATACCTTATCTCAATTAACAAAAAACAACAACAGCTTTCCATACAACTACAAAATCAAATTATTCATTCTCTATCAGAAAACCAAGCAATCAGAGTTTTGAATGTTTGGCACAATGGCAAAAAAAAAACAAAAAACATCAAGAAAATCTTGTTTATACAATAACAGACCAAACAAGTTATATTTTCAAAAAGAAGATCATTACAGATAAACAACTCCGCTATATTATCAATCATATTTACATCTCTAAAATCACATACCTTCTCAATGACATAACACTATCTATCAATACATACAACAAAATTAATAGTAAAATTAGCAAAGTTATCAAATACAAACTAGGTCTAGCAAATACAACATCCAACAACACTATCTATAATCTACTGAAATATGACTTTTTCAATATTTGGAAAACTAATTCAAATATAAATACAAAAAACTTAAAACATATACTGGTTGACAGAACTCTTTACCTTATTATTCCTTATATACCCATTCCTCTCCAGAGGTAAAAGTTTAGTACATAATATCATTTTTTTTCTGAGACAACATGGCTTTACTTTTTCAACATTATATATTATCACTTCAAGAAAAAAGACATAACCATTAAAGAAACAATGGATAGAAAATAGTTTTCCAAATATAGAACACAACTTGAAAAAATCAAATTCTATTCCTAGGTCAATATCTTAACACAAATAATATATATTTACTTCCATGGATAGAAATTACCAATCCAATTAAAAAACCAAACAAAAAAACTCCTACATGGTTTTGGGAACTCGAAACAAAACTTCTAACCAACCTAAAAACATTATAACAGATTTTACAAACAATATAAAAAAATGTCTTTCATAAATATATCCAAACAATCCTACAACAAAAATCAAAATCAAATAGATAGCAACAGAATACAACAATCAAATAATAATAGGCAGAAAGAAAAACTCATCACACACTGACAAAATCATTATCAAATACTACAAATAAATCTTCAATAATTCTCTACTTGAAGCATGCAAAGGCTATACAATTGATGAAGACAATTTTCCAAATCAATATATAGTTACCTGCTATACCAATCAAACAATTATTATTCCTGTTCACAAAAGCCAAAAAAGCTTATACAATTCTTTACAATAACTGGAATATGGAATAGAGTAAATATGTCATTCACAAGTATTCAAGCTTACTTCAATTTTAAAAACACAATACAGTTCTCAACACTACAACAAATTCAATTCATAATTAATATATATCCTACAGTTCAACACCAAACACACATCCTGCAGTTCATTATATCAATACCTGAAACAATTTGGCAACTTGTCCTTATATGCAACCAAATATACTAAAAACATCAAATCCAAATATATACAGATAGCTTCTTGATTAACCAATAAATAGAAATTGGTTGAACAATATATAACACATTTTAAGCTAATTTAATTATTATTATATTAGATTATTAATATATAATTGGTTGTTAAGTATGTATTGATTGTTTGAAAGAATAAAACTGTTTTTGATTTTTGAAATTTATTGAATTTTTGTAAAAAATGAGTTGGTATAGCATTGTATATCAAAAGAGAATAGTTGAAAAGATTTGATTAAAACAAGCAAAAGATTCAATAACTTTGCTTGAATATATCTTTATAAATAGGTTTCTAATATTAAAGAATAATATGGAGGTAATAATAATAATATTTGAATAAAAAGAAATACATAAAGATAAAGTTATAAAGGAGGACTGTCACATGTCTTTTTTATATAAACAAAGACTAAGTAAAACTTTCAAACTTGTTTGATTTTTGCCTAGAAATTCCATTCCTATGCAATAATGATTCTTAATATTTTTATTTTTATTTTTTATTTTTTTTCCTGCCGTTAACTCAGGATCCACAGTATCACCTTTCTAGTCTTCTGATGTTCTTCCAGGATACATTTTGGCAGTTATAGATAATGATCCTAAATACTTGTCTCAGGTCTAAGCCTTTAAGTATAGACATTGGAAGTGGGTAAGTTGCTATATCAAGATTAGCAAATCGTGCTAGCTGCTTTGACAATTCTAGCCTGCAGCCATCACTATAGTATTTCAACTGTTCAGTTTAGTCAAGACTTACTAGGGTTTAGTCAGTGAGATATCATTGGTGGAATAAGGATATACCAGTATATCAAATCCGTCTGGGAATTGAATCCAGCCTCACCCTTCCTAATCTAACCTAGCAACACATGTGAGGGGTTAAGTTTTATAGGTCATGTAATCAACCATCGCAAGTGTACCCCTTAGGATAGAACATTCTGTGATACAAGCAACCTTCTGCATTCTCGACCAGATCCTCGTTACTATTGGACATGTGAAACTCTTACTATAGTTATGCGACTAATAGTTTTTAGCTGTCTATACCTTTCTTTCTGCTACTGGAAAGATTCCATGAAACTTCTTCCCCCTTTTGAAGGTATTTTTTGGGCAATACTTGATATAAAAGTTTACTAATTACATAATCTATCTTTTCGACCTATGGGGTGTAGTTTACCCATAAGGCTCCTTAATTGCTGAAACAATTCAAATTACTCTCTATTACGAGTTACAAAGTAGTGACACAAAGTCCCTATTTGGGATATGTGAATTGTCTTCCAGCTGGAGTTGAACTGTAGGTCATAGGTTAGCCCTATCCTGCCTTAACCCACTGGACTATGATCAGGTAGGTCTGATTCTTAATATTTTTATATTCTTGAGCTTATGGCATATATAGTATATAGAAAGAATAAAAAGTATTTTTTCAAAAAAAAATATTATAAAAGAAAATTTTCAAAAAATTAGTAATAAATAAGTAAAAGTTTTTTTTTATATTGATTTTATTATACTTTAATATCTATTATAATTTTTTTTAATTAGATATTTAGTTAGACAAAAAAATTTTTTTTATTTTTGTAGTAATGCTTTAATTTTAAAAATAAATTTACAAAGCTAAAAATAAATTAATTCATTATTAATTATAATTTATTTAAATATAACTAATTTTTAATTTTAAAAAATCTCTTTTACAATATTCTAATTTGTAAAAAATTTTTTTTTTGGAGAATATATCAAAAACTATGAATTGCTAAACAGTTTGATACACAAGATATAATATATTATCTCAAGAGAATAAAAGAACTGCAGGATATAAAAGTCTGATTAACTTCTAACCAAAAGGTAGAAGTTTTGGAGAAAACTAAAACCTATTCAAATAAACTTTTGCTTTATTAAAATGAAATCTAGTAAGTTTCCACTAAGAAATTTTTTTGTATATTTTCAAATATATTATCTAAAAACTATATCAAAATATAATCAAACAATATATAACAAAAATATCTATTAAGAAACAATATTTTATTTTTTCAAAGTTTTTGTTTTTACTGATAATAACTAGTAAAAGATTTTTTATATTCTCTGGCTAATCATTAGTTCTTACCAATATTTTATATCCAAAATTCCTCAAATCTTTACACAAAAATTTCCTTATATAAAAAACCAAAATTAGTTTGTCCTATTAAGAGATCTATAATATACAAAATACTAATTATATTTTATACTATCCACTTATATTAAAACAATACAAAAACCTATTGGATTGGAAAACTGTGTAACCAGTGCCCTGCGCAGGTTCCAGTATGGCTTCAATAGCTAACAACAATAAAACAACACAATAATGTATTAAAACAGGTACCAATATTTAACCTATTAACATAAATATGATCAATTATCAGACAATAATTACTAAAACTTACACTTTTAAACACAAACTCAAAAGTTATATATGGCTTGCATAATGTCAACATCTGATTGAACTCATATACAAATGTTCAGAAATCATATCTAACAGCAATTACAACACCTTAATATCACCAATATTCTTTTATAATACCTAAACACAAAATGCAATCTTGTCCAAAATGTTTTTTTTATTTTTTACAACAGATAGTTCCTCAGGTTTTTCTTTTCCAAAGGTTTTTTCAATAATATATTTGTTTTATAGGTAATAGGCTAACATCTATAGTGATGTAACTAGTATCTTACTATTAATCATATAACAAGTTGCACTTTTACTATATTAATAAAGATCATAAGTAAGACCTTACTTTAACATTAAAAAAAACATAATTTTAAATTTTAAATAAAAGATCTACAATTGCCTTATAATACATTGTTATTATCTTGTGATATATTGTTACCATCTTGATTAATTTTATTCTTGATATTTAATATTTGTAATATTTTTTGAATAACAAGATTAATATTATGTGTTGACATTAAATAAGAGCTAAAACAAATATTTTAATCAAAACATTAAAACATTGTTTTCCTAATATTTAATATTTCATTTTTAAAAAACATATGATTATCAATATTTCTTATGTTTGATTCTAAGTGAAATGACTGATTTATTATAATTCATATGAACAATATTTATTTTATGTTAACACTGTATAAAAATTTAAACTATTAATAAGAAATCACCCGCACAACAGATAAGTATGTGCTAGTCTGAGAATTAATGAAAAATAACTTTAAGATAAAATAAGGCTTCTACAAGAAGTATATCGAGTTTTTGCGTGCTTTCATTATAACCACAAAACACTTGTATACTAGTGAAAAATTGTCATCTGCCAAACGCGCGTAGTGCGCGGCAATGATCATACGCGATTTTAAGTTATGTGACGAATAATCGATATTAGTTAAAGCGAAAACATAAGATTTTATTTATATTATATTATAAAGAGGGAAAATAAATATGCATTAAATAGATATCATTATCAATGACCTTTCTTTTTAGATCAGACTTGTTTACAATGATCTCAGCTAAAACTTGTGGCTGCTATAGGGCGCAATGGCTAACACTATCATCCACTTGCTATAAAAACTAAATACGGCATAATCTTTCAAATTAATCATTTAGATTTAAAAGGTAACTACTCGGTGTCAAAGTAGTAACAGAAACATCACCATAGTTATCTACCAAAAAGTTGTACAAAATATTGGATCCTTCTCCAATGAAAAATTCGAATCGCCCAACCCTTGTGCTGACAACTTGCCGAGCCAAGTCAAACCCTCTAAGAAGTGACAGTAATTTTTCATCCTCGTTACCAGTAATATTGATCTCCAAAACGACTGTTGTGTGCGCATTATTTTCGCATCTAATGTTAAGAAAAGTTCCTAATTCTCGTAATTCATCGGAATTTGATTCTAATATACTTGATATTGCACTAGCAACTGCTCCACCTAAAACGCCACCCCCAAATTAGCGGCAAGGACTCCCCCAGCACCTAAGCCGGCGGCACCAACAGATTGTAAAATCGACACAAGACTACCGGCGGCGACATATCCACGATATAATGACATCATCCATGCTGCAGTGCTTCCGGCTGCAATACCGGCTTGACCAAATCCTAATGCTGCTACTACACCAGTAATTGCAAATGGGCCTAAAAGAGCACCACCAGTAACTGCGGCACATGTTAAAATTTTTGCTCTGTGTTTGATAAAAAAATTCTCTGGTGGCCGGCGTAAAAACCCATCCCTCATCAAGTGATCCAGAATGACCCCTTTAAAAACGTCTACAAGAGGAATTTCAGATATATTTGTCATTTCTTGTGAAGGGTTTTCTGTTTAGGTTATCTTCAAAAAGCGAATTGAATTCTTTGCTTAAATAGATTCTTTCGTTCACCGATTTAATTAATTTAACATGTTTATCATTAACGATGTCAATATAGTTCTGTCATCATTATATTTCTCGCTTGCAATTACCAAGATTTTTGCATCATAAATTTCATAACCCCGCGTTTTATTAATCAAAATTAGATCTGTATATTTCATGCAGCCAAACTTCCGATAATTTGGAGTTACGTTTGCAAATTTTCATAATTAATTATTTTAACAATTTCAATAGATCGATGCTAAATCTGACGCGATAATTATCTGTCATTTATAACACATGAATTACATATAGGAATTTGCTACTGAATTTTTAATCATTTTGAATCCTATAAATATTCAATAATATCATAATTTGATTATAATATACGATATTATTTAATAAGGTTTGTAAATATAAGAGACTTTGAATTTGTATTTCTAAAATTTTCTATTTATAACTACGGAAATCAAATCATCGATGGTTATGAGAATATTTCGAGACAAAAATTTATTAACAAAATTTATAAAAACAATATACTGTATATGTTATAACTAATTAATTTAAACATTAATTAATCTACATTAATTAATTATTTTATATTTAAAAACATCAAAATTAACATATATAGATAACTGATTTATATTATTATAAAGACAAGTAATTAGTTAAAGCATAAATTAACAATTACTAATGCTAATAATTATATAAATAATTTTTCACATCATATCTTTGACTTGCAGTATGTAGTTATGAAAACAGAGGGAATTCAAAGTTATTAAAATTGGAGATCTTCAGAGTTTTTTTTTCAACAATATTTTAGTTTTGTTTTATTAAAAGAAGTTAGTTGAACTTTTATAGTTATATGATTTGGTTTCTAAAACTTGAGATATATAAAATCTGATCTGAAATTTTAAACAATATAATATGATATAATAAAGCAAAACATAAAAAACTTTTTCTGCTAAACACTTGCTTCTAATAAAAATTATTGAATAAAGAAATAAAGATTTTCTCCTCTAAAAATCACAAAAGATTCTAAAGTATCATTTTTATTCTTCAAGGATCAATTCATTAACCTCTATATATTTTGCTTAATATTTTATTAAAATTAATGTAATATACAGTATATCTTCTTATCTACTATTTATGTCCATCTTTCAAAGCTTTAAAATCTTCCAAAGCTTGAATAACCTCTGTTTATTTTCAAGAAAAAATTATAAAAGTCTTAAAGTAATTTTCATAACCTTTGAAATTCATAAAAAAAAACTTAGAAACAATTATATCAATATCAAAACAACTCATTTAAATCTAATATTCTTAAAGATATTCAATTCTTTTATTATCTACTAACATATTTTTTATTTATTAAATAATAATAAAACAAATATTATAAAGAAGCTTTTTAAATATAAACTTAACTATAACCTTTATATATCTGGAAACAAATCTAAAATTAATATTAAAAAAGATAAAATTTTTATTTTGAAATAAAAAACCAAAATTCTTATATTTTTTCAAAACTTTTTTGTAATAATTAAGAAATTAATCAATAATAATAATATCAGCAGATTATAAAAATGAAATGCTATATATAGCTATCCTTAATTATAATAATATTCAATCTAACTTTTATATAAATACAGATAATCTTATATTAATTTATATAGGTTTAAATGATAATAATTTATTACATATAATTATATAATAATTTATATAGACAATCTATTTTAATACAATAAATCCCTCTGGTTCTATAATTATATAAACTAAATATATAATGTAAAAAATAACTTATTAAATAATAATATAAGTTTTTAAAAAATATTTCATAACAAAATTGGATTAACAGGTTAGATAGTTTAAAACTAGTAATATAATTTTTACTTTTTGTATTAGTTTTATTAGACATATAAGCCTACTCATAAAATATAAGTTTATATATAGTTAGATTAAATTATAATAGACTATAATTAATTTACAAATTATATAAAAGATTATTAATATAATAATAACTATAAACTCTATTTAATAAAGTTTTATATTTAAAATTGAATCATTACTTTTTCCATTGATTCTTTTGTCAACTCAAAAAACAGACATTCTCAAAAAAAATTTTATTTTCTTTAATAATAAAGTCTATACACTTTCCTTAATACTTTACTTCCTGAACACTAGTGTCTCCTCCTACTTGTCTATTTTTCTTTTTTCAAAAAACTTTATATATTTTAACAACAAAATAAACAAAACTTTATCCATTTGATTTATAATAAAAACACTTTATTAGAAAAAAGAAATCTGTTAAAAAAATACCTTTCACTATATTCTCCTTAGATCTGGAACTCTAGAAAGTAAACTATTAGTGAATATATTTTTCAAGCTCTATAAGAACCTTAAGTTTACTATAAGTAAACACCTTAAGCTAAGGCAGGTGGATAAGCTAGTAGAAAGTTTATAAGATATATGATTCCTTCTTTATCAATTATATACTGCAGTGGTACTTTCAAGCATGTAAAAAATTTTTTTAATTTTTTCTGGAAAATTTTGTCTATTTTAGTTTAATCCTAAATTTTTTGTTACACTGAAAATTTTGATTAGTAATTAATTGAAATCTTGGATTGGTTAATCGATATGTAAAAAAAATATAAACAAAACATATATCTCTCACATATTTTATGTTGTATTACACTATAATCAATAATATAATTGGATATAACAAAAGAGCAAGATATTGAGACATTCTCTTAATAAAAATGGTTTGAAGTCTTTTTTTTCATCTCTTGTACTGATTTCTTTTTTTATCAAGATTAAAGAAGGTTCTCATTAAACCAGTAATTGATTTAGATAGGTTTTTATTTCACCAGCACAAACTTTTTTTCTTCCCTTTTACCTTTTCCCTTTACTTTCTTAAAAAAATAAAAAATTTTATATCTTAGGACCACAAAGGTTAAGTTGAAATAACAGTTTTAGTAAAAGGTTAGCTATGATATTTTAAATAAATAAGAAACATTTTTCTTTAATTAAGTGACTTTTTCATTTTCACTTAATTATATCTAGAAACCATTGGCTATTAATGGATATATCATATAGCATTAATAAGTTTAGTCTAATAGTATATACATTTATGTAATATTCGTGTTATAGTTTTTATTTATTTAAAGCAAAATAAACATAAGTGGCTTATAATCCAATTAGATATAAAAATAAATAAATAAATAAATAAATATACATATTCTTTTAATATATTTTTTTTAAGATAAACATGTATCGATACAAATCTTAATTGATATATAATATCTAAACAGATATTAAGTATCTTCTATATATAAAAATATGTATAATTTGAAACTAAATATTTTTATGTTTTTTATATATAGAATTAATACTGCCTATTAATTATTTCTAGTAATAGTTTATCTATCTATCTTTATTAATCCAATTATTGTATATAAATTTATATTATGAAAGTAAATCTTAGGGCTTCGAAAAGTACTGAACCAGTATTGAAGTAGTATCGAAATGGTATTTATCTATAGTAAATTTAATATATAAATTGTGATCCACTTATAAGAATTTATATTAAATTTAAGTATTGAACTGATATTGAACTGATATCAAAGTGAAATCATTAGGAGCCTAATAGATCTATACTTCAGATAAACAAATTCAAGAAGTAGAAATCTTGCTACTTGTTTAAATCCATCTTTTTGTTAAGTTCAAATTTGGCAACCTTGTGACTATTCATGATTAAAATCTAGAGTATTATTATAAAGACTGATTTCAGTTAATCCAGTCACCTGTTATTATCATTTCTTGGGATATAACACTAGTATAGTATAGTACAACTGTTCTCACCATCTGTAGTCATAGCATCCTTGCTTAAATTTTTAATTATTCATGTTTTGATTCTCAATAGGCTTACTTGACTTAACAATTTTTATCTATTTTAATACAGTTTATAGCTAATAGTCTTGTCTTTATATAATCCATATATTTAAGTTCAAAGAGTACCAGTATTAGAATAGATCTCAAAGTATCAAATTGGAATAAACTAGTTTAGGATCTGCCTCTTTTTATATTGTGTAATAAAGTCTATTATGTCAGGAAAAGAATGTGAACTTTTTATTAAAGTTAGATCAGAAGCCTTTTCTTATATAATTTTTCATACTTTAACTTATTTTTTCAGCCTGCAATTGTTAGAAAAATTAAAAGTTCTATTTTTATGTAATTTAACTAAATTTGATATAAATCTGGATATTTATTCTTCTAATGTTTTTTCTTTTAATTTTTTAAAAGTTATATAATAATAATAGTGAAGATTATAGTAAGATTAATTGTTAAAAGTATTAATATACTATTAAAATTTTTTTTAAAACAATAGAAAAGAACAACTGAATATAATTACAAAAACTTTTATGATCTGTCAAATAATATCTCAAAAAACTATTTAATAAAATATTATTTAATAATTAAATTTTATAGTATTAAAAATAATTAATAATTATTTTTTTCAAAAATTATCTAATTATTTTTTATTTTATTTTTTAAACCTGCTGTAACATAAATAATAGTGACACAATTTGTACTAATAATGATTATTAGAAAGTATTACATGCTATAATTGAAATGAAATATGTCAAAACAATTAACAGTACATATAAAAGTATAAAATAATATAATAAAGAAATATAATATAATTAAAGAAAGACTAGGCTAAGTCATATAACCCATTTTTGTTTGTTAAGATCAATAAATTATGTAATATAATGATAAAAACAATAATATATTATATAATGATTTCATTATAATTTATTATTTTATTTTTATTTTTTTTGTTTATTTTATTTTCTTATTGTCAAATATTATGTAATTATTGGATTAATTATATATAAAGAAAGATATATCATTAATAAAAAAACAATCTTTAACAATCTAAATTTTTTTAGTCATAATC